TTTTTTATTGGAAAATTAATTAAAAAAACACGAGAATAATGAAAATGTAATATAATTAATGAGAATATGTTGTGTCAAGAAATCTATGATCAAAGATAATTATCAGACACGATTGAAAATTAGTGTAATACACAATACATGCATTTACCTATTTATAATAGAACGTATGATAGAAAATTGTTCAAATGATAATAGAAGTTTGATGAAACTAAAAGATAAAAGTATAAACTCTAAAATTGATAAAAGAAAATATGCATCATCATCATAACAATTCAATATTTATAAAAAAATAACTTTCAGATAACTTTCGAATAAGTTTTTATTATATCAGTACAGTTTAAAGCCTTTGAATTAAACTTTAATAATTATTTTATTTGCTTAATTATTCGATTCGATTTATATTTCATTTATATGATTAAATAAAGTATCTTTAGATATAAACAAATTGTTCATAGTGTCGAAAATTTTTTTTTTTTTTTGAATAAATGAAATTTCATATAAAGAAAAATAATTCTTCTGTCTTTTGAAAAATTTCTATATCCTAGAAATTTATCTACCTATATCATACGTGTATAAATATAGACTCTGCAGTATTTCATATACCAAGATCATTTCCATTTTCCTTCTGTATTCGATTTCTTTTTAAGCACCAATTATTAGCAATATATGCTGTGCATACACAAATAACAGGAATATTATCTTAAGAACGCATGGCGATAATGTAACATCGAATAGGTAAATCGATTAATAGTCGATAATAAAATATCTTCGAATTTTCCACTTATCGCGATACAATAAATTTATGAGATCGTGGAAGTAGCCACGTTCAATCGAGCAACAACTTTTATTGGATCCGTTTACACTGTCCTTTCTTCTTTTTTTTTTTCTCTTTCCTCCTTTCCCCCTCTTCTTTCGCGATTCATACCGCTAACCGGTCGGCTAATTTTTCGTCTCGCTCCAAAAATCACGTCGATGGTCGAGTATACCTGTCCGTTACTCGATAATTCCGTATTATACACGCTTCTACTTTCTTTGTGATCGCTCTTATCCCCTTTGTTCGTATATACCTTAATATCTGAAGCAACTACGCATCGAACGATTCGCTTCTTTCATTCGAACTATTCTACTGTTTTTTTAGCAAAATTCGTAACGCCATAAAAATGATCGTAGATATTTTCAAGGGGAATAACGGCAGCAACGTTTATTCTTAACGATTTTTGAATTATTTTTATATGCGAAATATATTTAAAAGAAATTTTGTATCGTTTAATGTAAGGTGATTTTTTATTATTTTGCGCAAATAAATAAAGGTATAAATCATTGCAGATGCAGATTCGATGTTTTCTTTGCATCTACAAGCAAAAATCGATATTCTTATTAAGAGATATCAAAAGATATTGCAATTTTTTATTAATTATGTTCTTGGCATATTGTAGATTATTTTCGTCGAAATTTGAAAACCAAAAATTGAGATAAAGATTTATCGATAAATTATCATGTGAAAAATATATTCTTTTTTATTATAACATTAATCCAAAAAGCGATGATTTTACAAGCAGTTTTTTCTTGATTTCTTTGTTACAAATGGATTTGTTCCCCTCTTTCTGCAAGATCTTCAATTATTACGAATTAAACGTTTTAGAATTTGTAAAGATTAGTACTTTATAAAGTAACACTTAACTTATTGTTGGATTGAGAAACGATTATGCAAAAAAGCAATTACCGAGTAACGATCAACTGGAGAACGGAAAAACATGGTTATTTCAAATTCTTCCGCATGCATCTGAGGAACGTAATGATTTTTGCGCGGTCGAATGACGCAAGAATCTTTTGTGAATGCCTGAAGAGAAGAAAATGCAACATTTCATGCGTTATTGCGCGAACAATACCCGCTCTTTGATTTGTTGCAGATTTCTTTATCGTTATCGAAACCTTTTCCTCTAAAAAGTAAAAGATACTTTTATCAATACATCTGCTTTCAATTCCACTTAGATATGTTTTTTATACGTTTTACACGAGAAATCGAAACCTTTCTCTTTTCATTATTCTTTGTTTTACAGTTTCGAGAAAACGTTATAGTCGTTAAACACGATTGAAACGAAACTTTAAAAAATTATCTGTCCAATGAGTCAGCAACAGATCGATCATTGTTCTAAGCGAGAAAATTGTATTCACGGTTCGACAGTTTGAAATTCGATTAACAAGAAATTGTTGTCAAATAATTTGTTAAACCGTTGGATGATCGTTTATTAAAGAAAATATTCGAAATTCAAAAATATCGATTCAAATCCTTATTCTTTCTTGCATATTATTCGTTTCTTTTGCATACATAACAGATTTCAAATGAACCCAAATTTTAATGGATGTTCAAGTAATCATGGATGCCATTGGATAAAGCGAAGACGTATTCTAATTTTAAAACTTTTTACTCGTTTTTTGTGTGCTGCATTCTTATGAACATGAATTTAAGAATTATCAAATATTTGGATTTTCAGCCAAATTAAAATGGCTACCTTTTTGAGCAGACGTATTTTCATGTTTGTTCGAATTATTCTTTAATGATTCATCATCATTATCATCACAATTTCTACACGAATATTTCATTAAAAAGGGTTTTAGTAATTTACATATCACTTATTAACTCGTGTAGGTATTCTAAAGTTTATTAATTTTTAAAACATTATATTATTTATTATCCTAATGCAATTCAATCTCTTTAATTCGGAAAAAGATTGTAATTTTTTAATTCATTCTCTTTCACTCCATTTAATAAAATATAAATATAAACTTACTGTAACTCGAATTTACATTTATTCGTTAAGTAATCGCACAGTAGATTCGTATATAAAGCGTATACGAATAATATGAATAACAAATTTTGTTTTATCTTAGAATATTAAAATACTAAATTTCTCAATCTCGTTCTTTCGAAATTTTAAAATTCGAATTTTTACCCCCCCCAAAAAAAAGGTTTTCGTCATCATCGTTTCATTTCGCGACTTGCTCACCGACCCATAAACGGTCGATGAAATTTACATTAACACGCGTGGATCAACCTCTAACGCAGACCACCTATCGGAACGCGAGGTTAAAACACAAAGCACGTGGAAGAAAAATTCGATATTCGGAGGAAAAAAGGGCAAGTCGAAGAATTGAAATTCGAAAGGGTAGTCCTTTGTGTTTGTATTCTATCGCGACAGTATCGAATGGACACGGCAATTGGCGTGCGAAAACTCGGCCTGGCCGGTGGTTCGAGCGATGACTTCCGCTTGAAGGGCCGCCGTATGTCTGCGGATTAACGCGTTAAAAGAAAATTTACGTTGATAGCTTATTAATGGCGGACGCGAGACGAATGACGTCGGTGCTTTTAATATATTCGCGGCTGTAATCGGGCAAGAGATGCCGACCAAGGAGGAAACTTCGAAGTTAATGACGCACGACCGCTTTGGAACTTTGTAATCTGTGCCTGTAACAACATCCTTCACGAACAGTTCCCTCGTTTTTCCCTTTTTTCTTCGTTATCCTTTTTAATGAAAGATCCTTCGAAAAATCCTCTTCTTCCTCTTCGTTCCGTTTCGTCCATTTTGAAGAAACAAGGGTGGGATGGACGGGGATAACAGGCCCCGTAATGAAGCACGCATTTTCGGCAGAGTCATTGTATTAATCGAACGACCGTTCCTGGCCACCTGTGGTCCACCTATAGCCAAAGTGTGTACGGCAGGTGGTCCAATCCGTATTCCTCTTTTGGTGATCAACGGTGATATCGGAAATGATGGAGATTCCATTCGTTGGTTCTTTTTTTTTTTTTTTTTTTTATCAGTTTCCTTGGATTTTTCTTTTACGTGATTACGTAACGATGAATATTCTTCTGTGAAAATATTTTACACACTTAAGATTGTAGATCATACTTTTTAATAATTTATAACTTCTCTATACAAGAAATTAAGACTTAAATATTTAAAATAACTTAAAATAATAAAATATTTAAAATATAATGAAACAATAAAACTTCTCTTTTTTTCATCTTCTATTTTTATAATAATAAGTATATAGTAAGATTAAAAGATTAAAAGATCTTAAGAATTCTTGTAATTTGTTCGTCAAATTTTTCGTTTCTGTGCATCTTGCGTGTATAATCTTTAAAAACAAAAATATTGCATTAATTTACAAATACTCATTCTTCGAGATATAATCGTATGCTACTTTTACGTCGCACGTATAAGCATAAGTTATTACCTATGATTAATGCAAAAAGTATTTATATTCTACACATCCTTAAAAGCGTTTTTTTAATGTTAAGTTCATTTTCATCAATACCAACCAAGTTTTTAAAATCATATTAAAATATTAAATGATATAAAATTTAATATATTGAACCTAATTAATTAGCATGTAAATGTTATAATAAACCTACTGCTGTCAGTTTATGTATTTTCTGTGTCAAACGAACATGACTGGCAATAATTTTCGAAATATAATATAAATGTTATTAATTTTACCAATAATCATAAGAATATATTTTTAAAAAACATTCGAAAGATTAGAAAACGTGAAAACAGTAAATTTAATATAGCTTATCTTGCGAATATTTTAATATAATGAAAGAAAATTATCAATCGAGATTTTTTAAGTTAATTGTAAAAAGGAATATGATATATTCATGAAAAATACATTTTTGGAAAATTGATTTTAAAATAAAGTAACGTAAAAGTTAATATACGAATATGTCAGTCAAGGTTTATTTATTAACATATAAGCCTTAATCTATATTTTTACATTCATTTTATTATATATTCATTATTCATCATCTTCGAAATCGACTTTCAAAGATGTCTTACCTTCTGCTTGCATATTAACACTTTATATATATTTTTCTACACGTTTTTCCTGATATATATATATATATATTACGAAACTTTAATTTCCGCTGTTAAAATATCAAGAAAATAATTGGTGGAAACAATTATCTTCAAAAAAGCAAAGTACGATGCTGTACAAGATTCTGCGAAGATGGCAGAGCGAGAAGAGTGGCGAAATGTAAAGTACTGCATAATCGCGAAGAAAGGTGAGAAAATTCGCGAGGAAGAGGGATCGCAAAATCAGCAGCAAGACGCAGAGAAAGAGAAGGATTGCGAAAGGACAGCCGAAGCGGCGGATTCGTGAACATCAAACGAATTAAATCTCCGCGGCGAGTCGACCGCAGAAACTAATATCTCGGCGAGCTCTCTCGTTTCTTCCGTTCCTCGTCACTTCTACGTAGCCGTTTCAGCCTCCGCTTCTCTTTCCTCGACCACCGCGCCGCCCGCCATCGTATTTCTGGATTCCGCTTCGAAAGAGATTCGTGCTAGAGAGACAAAGTGGACGATGACAAAATTATCGTCCACTTTTCCCGGTTGAAACGCGTTTCTCAAAAAGAAAACCGGGTCTGTAACGTTTCGTTCGAACGATGAGAGCAAAATGGAAAAGAGGATTGAGCAAATGGGAAACGACAAGCACGACACAAGAAGCGAGCTCATAAACCGAGGCAAAACGTTCACCTCTCACGATGGGATACAGGACTATTTTTGCGGCAGTTTCACCTTAAACGCCCATCAAATGATAAAGTAGCGACGATACGATGGTAATTATCGAGGTAAACGAGCTGGTACGAGCGTAATTAGTTCCAACGCTTGTAGCGAGGTGGCGTGTTAGACGCGTACAATTAGACAATTGCTTGGTTTGGTTATCGAGAACAGTGTTCTCCAAGGAAGAGAAAAAAAGGTTATAAAGAAGATTGTAGATAAGAAAAACGGGCTCGATCATCGAAGGTATTAAAACGGTGAATCTGTATAGTATCTGTATAGTTTACGGCAATGTAATAACACTTTCGGTAACCGCTAAACAGTCTGCTATCCGCGATAATTAAGTCGTTTCCGGGCATGGTTTAGAAAAGTGGTTGAACGTGTCTATTTCACTTGAAGGAAAAACAAGCGTCGATTCAACCAAAAAAATCCGAACGAGGTGTAAGTTTGCGCGTAAATCCGCCATCTCCTTCTGTACTTGAGAGAAACCGTTACGAAAGTGGGTAATAGGCGTTGTAATAGATATTATCTTGCTTGATAGGTGTCGATATCGTGGCGGCGAAAGTAAGTAGATATTCGAATGAATAACCAGCATCGATGAAGACCGAAAGAAGTCATTATCTCGATAATTTATAATTAAAGGATCGAAATCATGGTGTCTTCTTCGAGATCGTCAACATATTTCCGGGTTCTTAAGTGGAATCGAACCCCGGTAATTTGAATCTTAAAGGAACAATCTGAATATTTTATGGAGATTTTGTTTTATCCATCATTATCCACTTGGATGTTTTCAAGTAAGTTTAATATTACAATTTTACACAAGGGTTAATATTTTTTCAGTCGTAAAGATTCAAATGAAAAAAAAAAAAATCAGTGAATTTTGTTTCCAAATGTAAAAAAAGTTGAAAGAAAAGAGAGAGTATTGAATGATCAATTATTGATAGATATTAGTTCGAATTATAATGTGTCAAAGTGATGGAAGTTTAATCTATAGAGGTTAATTTCATCTTGAAGAGGTTAGATTGAATAGCGAGATAAAATAACGCATCTAAACATGTAGCAAATAATTCGAGTTAATATAAATTTATTTCATTTCAATTTTAAAGAAGTTTTCGCAATAGAACAGAAATACAATAAATAAAATTAATCTTAGACATAAAGACTTCCGAATTATATATATAGAGAGAGAGAGATATAAGTTACGAAGTTTTGACTGTATCATTTATTCATTCTTTGAGATTCCTTGGTGATTTATCCGAAGACCAATTTTCCGGAGATAAAGAATTAAAGATCATTCTATTAAAATTCTCACCAATTAATCACCGATTTATTACATCACGTCGATAAATCAACGTACACAAAAGCGTTCTATCCGCTTATGACTAGTGATTTTTGACGAATAAGAGCAATAGAGATAGAAGATAAGAAGAATCGAAGGATGAAGGTAAAAGATATCGCGATCAAGCGTTTAAACGTGTGCCAAAGAATGACAGAAAGCGTTGCATCCTTGAGGTGAACGTGCACGACGAAGGCAAGATCGATCAACGTTGTAGTTTTTAACCTGGACTGTACACTCGGGTTGCGCAGGTGTGACCGATGGCGGCATTCTTTGATCCTGCAGGGACTCCACGGCTACCTTGTCCACGACTCATCGGCCGCCTCTCTTTTTCGTCACTCGGTTCGATTATTTCCTAATGGCTAACGCCATCGCGAAAACGGCCGTCGCTAATTTCGCCACTGTTCCCGCCGCGTTCGGCTTCCTCTGCCAAGCTCGGGGGATTGATCGAGATGGGCAAAAAAAAGGATTGCGAGTGTGTCGCTGAAAACGAGCGCACGATCAACTGTTCAAACGACTTTATCGTTTAAGTACAGGTTGTTTCAAAATGGGTGACATGATTTTAATCGATAATAAGGTAGTAGGATATATAAACGGTGGTCGTATTTAAATTAAAACGTTCCTCGATATTTTTTTGATTTTTGTAATTTCTTTTTAGCTCGATAATAATTCGAAACATCGGAATTATTATATTGACAATTATTGGAGAGTAAGATATATCTTTTTTGTTTTTTAATATAAAGAGTCTCAAATAATAGCTATGAATAAAAAAATTAGACGTAATTTTATAGCAAAAAAGTTCTATAAATATATATATGTTTACATATAAATCTTAAGAATTAATTATTTTTTTTTTTTTTTAGATTAAGACAAAATTTAGAAGAAGTAAAAGAATTCAAATTTATCTATATAAATTTATCTTAATTGAGTTATAAAATGTGCTACATAAATATAAAGATGAAATTAAGAAACTGAATTTTTTTTAAGACAAAATCAAGCAAAAAAGTAATAAATTGAAGTAATAAATATCCGATACAATTTTTTGGTAAGATAAATTATAAAATTGCATTAAACATTAAGAAACAAGTTTTAACAGTATCGAATAAACAAAATAATCGTAATACGTGGTAATAATCACATAAATTCGTAATATCATGTAATTAATATGTAAATTCATTCTAATAATAAGCATAACAAATTCCAGTTTTCTTAAGTTTTTCTCTTTCAAGTTTATCATTAATGTATAAAATAAGTAAATAAGTAATTAAAATTTATCATGTTACTTCAATCATTATTAAAAATCTTATCGCTATCTATTCTAAAACTATAGCGTTTCATATTTCTAAAATTTCCTTTACAATTCGAATATGTATTAAAATAATTATCTTACAAGATTCGATAAAGTATCTATTAAATTCAACTCGTTTCGAACCACTGAAAAACGATAAAAATTTCAACATCCGGTGGATGAGAAGCTTCGTTGGAATTCCGTCGTCTGAACACCGTAACGAATAGGTAATACGATTTTTATGGAGAGACCCTTACCCACGAAAATGCATCTGATTTGTGGCCGTGTGGAGTGGAGTAATGCCGTGGCGGACCCTGTTCTAGGATCTAGGCATTCAAACACGCCGAGGATGTCCGATTCGTTTTGCATTTCTCCTTCGGCTCTCTCGTTTAGAGATTAAGAAATTTCGATATTAGAAAGAACTTTATGGAAAAAAGAGTGGAAAGAAACGACCTTCGAGTTCCTATTTATGGTCTCTCAGGCGGTGGACTGATTCATAGATTCTCTGATTCGATTTAACACGACGATACAGAGTTTGAAATTATTTGAGAACGTAAAAAACAATGATAGATCATTCCTTAACACAAATTATCAGCCTTTCATAGCTGGAAAAATTTTTTATCATTATTATTACGATTGTTATTCACATTTATTGATACGAAACAGAAATCATTATCATCCTGCCAGATAGGAATCGTCGACGAGAAGTTACGCATGCCTCGAATCGATTGGTTCTATCTTATTTTCTTGCTCACATGTTTCCATAATCATGTTTCTTTACCTTGAGCCGCGGGGACAAGAAACGTGGAAATTTCCACGTAACCAATTCCTCTTTCGAATTTTAAACCCTTCGTGAATGGTAATTAGAGCTTTTACTATGTGGATATTCGAGAAGGAAAAGATGCTCATTATTAATCCGAATTCAGATTCAAAAATCGGACATAATATAAATATTTATTCGAATATCGGAAATTTGTGTCTGATCCTATTTTTTTTTTTTTTCGTGATTTCATAAATAAGAAACTTCTTTTATATATTTAATTTAGATTAAAGAGACTAAATACAAGTAAATTTTTTAATATAATTTTATTAAATAAAGTTAGATTAGATTAATTTCTTATATTTGGATCTAAATTAAGCGCTTGTTCCAATATTCGTATTTATATGAACGAAATCTTAACGTTTATCTGATTTTAGTTGAATTCTTATTATCTAAACTACTATTGAACATTATATAATATACGAATTTCTAATTTTTATATAATTCGAAATATATTTTATATTTATTTTATATTTATAATAAAATTAATTCATTATACATTAATTAATCGTATTTTGAAAATTATGTCTTGTATCTAATATTTGATATATAATTATTTTATATTTGATAAATATATAAAAATTTTAGAAATTTTTTTGTTTCATGAAATTGTTTGATATGAGCAATATTAATAAACTAATTAATTGAATGAAAAATCATATCTGATGAGAAAAATTTAAAATCCTTGAATTATAAAAGAATGTTATATATTAATTCTATATATAAATTTGTGGGACATTGATCGATTTTAAAATTCAAACAAACACAAAAGTTGATATTGAAACAAATACAAAAATTTCAATTTAGATTTTAATTACGATGAATTTGAAGTTTTCTATTAGACAAAGCAAAACTATCCATAGTTCCATATATCCATCCATAAATTATCGCTTTATATTCATCACATCACTTTGTCTCCGTCTTGTTTTATCGAATCCAAACTTCAGTTGGTTAATTAAATATGGATTTTTATGCAAAATCAAATTTTTATAACTAAACTTATTTTATAAAAAAAAAAGCTTAAAGAAATGAAGTTTACATACTAAATAATTTTATATTAAATAATATTAAATATATATATATATATATATAAATTGGTTAGGTTAGATTAGATTAATACATATATGTTGAGAAATAAATAGCTTCATGCAAACAGAATTTAATTATATTCAAATTCAAATAGATATTTGTACATCCAATAAGAACTGCAATGGAAATCAATTTTATTAGCTTGACAAACACGTCAAACCTGTTCAACAAATAATCTCATCTAATCGTGTTCAATTATCTCTGTTGCAGAGCAAGCAAATCATCTGAACTTGTTCAACAACCGGCAGCAACCGAAGAAGAAGCGCAAGAGTCGAACAGCATTTACGAATCAACAGATCTTCGAGTTAGAGAACGATTCTTATACCAGAAGTATTTAAGCCCGGCCGATAGGGACGAGATTGCTGCGCAACTAGGATTGAGCAACGCTCAGGTGATCACGTGGTTCCAGAATAGGCGAGCAAAACTCAAAAGAGACATGGAGGAATTGAAAAAGGACGTGCAGACAGTGAATCCTCTGCTAGTCGCTCAACATCACAAGACATTTTTAGAGAACGTTCAAGATCTTGGAATTTTGAAGAAACGACCGTTGCCGAGCATGGACGAGAAGTCGTAGGGAACGAGACGCCTCGATGCTCGTCGTTGAGGAAAAATCGTGATTTCTTGAAACTAGAGGCTTACGCAGAAAAAACTGTCTATTGATCTACAGAGATCGCTTGTCGATCGTAGTAAACGTTTTCTATAATGCGATCGTATAAAATTACGCAAAAGTGAAGTCATACTTTTTCTTTTTCTACGTGAATCGACTCAATGAGGAGTTTTTGAGGTTAGGATTTTCGTAGTTCTGTTTTCCGTAGTATACCTGATACGATATTACGAGTATAATATAATATTGGGGAAAATGGGAATTGTGATCGTTGTGACAGCGTGTTTTTTGGAAATATTTGATACATTATAGAAAATTGTGGATAGAGATGGAGAGGATATGACTAGGCATAGTACAAAGAAAGCGTCTTCTTCGACAATATATCGCGGAGAACGAAAGAAGAAACCGTTTTCAGTGAAATAGACGGAATTCGTTCATAGAAATTACGCATTGATTTCTGTCGGTTATCCGTGATGTTGATACGTCGAGAAGATGTACAAAGACTGAGAGAGTCTGCAAAAGTCTGACGGATGATAAGCGACGATTGACGAGGCGATTAAAAGTGATCGTGGCATGGCGAGGTGAGGATACTAAATGAATCTTTTAAATGTTTGTAAATTAAAGACTGCCAAATATATTCACAGCTGGCCCTCGTCGACCTCCGGTCCATCGAACGACATTTTCGATGTTAAAATCAGGATCGGATCACCCCGTGTTCTCAGCCATTTTACACAAATTTTTATCTCGAGGCGATGTCAGACGGAGGATACAAATGAGGCGAAATTCTATGTTACACGAAAGAAAGAAAAATACGTGTTCTGACCAAAATGTTAAATGGACTTCGTGTTTCCTTTAACGAATACGTAGGACGACTATTCTTCGGACACCTGTACCATATTGTATTTATTTGCGGAGAGACGAGAGAAGGGAATCGCGATGAATAAAAATGTAAAAGTGATCCAGAAGAAGCATCGATGATTTATGTAAGTTATTAAGTAAATATTATAGCATATAAATTATAATAGAGTGCTATCGCGAGGCATTCGTCATTGTACATAAGCTACACACATATATATATGTGTATATATATATAATGAATCTTTTAAATGTTTGTAAATTAAAGACTGCCAAATATATTCACAGCTGGCCCTCGTCGACCTCCGGTCCATCGAACGACATTTTCGATGTTAAAATCAGGATCGGATCACCCCGTGTTCTCAGCCATTTTACACAAATTTTTATCTCGAGGCGATGTCAGACGGAGGATACAAATGAGGCGAAATTCTATGTTACACGAAAGAAAGAAAAATACGTGTTCTGACCAAAATGTTAAATGGACTTCGTGTTTCCTTTAACGAATACGTAGGACGACTATTCTTCGGACACCTGTACCATATTGTATTTATTTGCGGAGAGACGAGAGAAGGGAATCGCGATGAATAAAAATGTAAAAGTGATCCAGAAGAAGCATCGATGATTTATGTAAGTTATTAAGTAAATATTATAGCATATAAATTATAATAGAGTGCTATCGCGAGGCATTCGTCATTGTACATAAGCTACACACATATATATATATATATATATATATATATATATATATATATATATATATATATATACATATACATCGTTCATCCCCCTCGATATTACGCATAAACGAGATAGAGTCGTCGTGTATGATTAAAACAAATGGAAAGGGAGACAAAAGAAGAAAAATAAATACTTAAGTAAATAAATGAAAAGAGACATATAAGTGATACATAGATGGGACACTGCAATATACCTGGTCATCATTTTAATTAGTGAGCTTTATGATCGCGTAAGATGTAAATCCGTATCGCGCTTGATGATTTGCGAGGTGATAGACGCGTGAAATGAGAGTGCGTGTGTATGAACAGAATCATAGTAGCGTGTATAGTGAGTCGAAATAAATGGAGACATTTAAAATAAATACGAAGAATAATTGTATCCTGTTCCTGATCCCATAAACCGAATCATTTCCTTTCTCAATACAGTACAAAATGAAGGGTAAGTTTCAAATTAGTACTTTCAAATTAGTTATATAGTGAAATAAAATTATTATGGTAAATAAATGAGTAGACAGTCCATTTTACGTTTAGCGATGATTTTTCTTTAATAATTTGAAAGCAGTAATTTAATTCTTTTTATATTGAGATACTTAAGGAGCTAATTATTAGCTATTTTTTTTCCCCTGAACAAATTGTTAAAAAAAAAACGAAAGAAATAATTAATCAAAATATACAAACAAAATCTTTATCCGATTTATTACGCATTTATCCGATGCTATAAACTTTTTAATTCCTGATAATAATGTTTTGACATATAAGAACAATAAATTGTTTATTTATTTTTAATTATTCATAATATAGAAATTAAATTTCTTTAACTTTTTATATCGTAATAATGCAATGAAATTTTTTTTATAATATTTTGCGGAAATATTTTCTATATTTAAAAAAAAGCTATAAATTTTATCTTATAGATATTGCAGTAATTTAATAGTAATTTCATATTTCCTTTCTAATTTTTAAAAAAGTAATTGACTGTCCGGTAACGGGAGAGAGGCACAGTAATCGTTTATCCCATATAATATACTATTAAATCGATGATTTATTTCAATTCATTTATTGCCATGCGCAAAAAAGAAATTGCATGGAGAAAGTGAAAAGATACAAAAGATGTTCGAATTGTCTAATGGCACAAACATAGAATAAGACAGCAGTAAAAAGAAGAGTTATTCCTCGGCCCGAAAGGGCCGCCAGAGAAATAATTGTCCGGAAATAGCGCGATACACGCGGCCTTTCTGGGAATCTTTTTGAAGCCGTTTGTAAGCTTTACCCGAAGCCGTAATTTATTAAGATGAAGTCATTTCGCGAGTCGAATTCGTTCGCGTGAAGTCTGGCACTCATCATAACCGAACCAAACTCCGTTTACACATAGAAGATTTGGAAAATTGCAAAGCAAGACATCCAATAAAATATAATTTCGATCTTAAAAGCAATATCGCGATTTTGCAACGCAAAATCTTTCTGCGAGAGATTTATCTTTTCGATTCGAAGTCTCTTCCAAGTTATTTATATTTTTCATCCGTTGCGTTAGGTTAGGTTAGAGTCGAAAGAGATTCATTTTTGCTGGTTATTTTTTGACCAAAAAATAACTGCCTTTTTTTTTTTTTTAAGTAATAAAAGATGAATTTTTTATGACAAACAAAAACTTGTTTCGATTATCTTTTCAATTATCTTTTAGGCAATCTTCGTGATTCTCGTCTTTATTTAAAAGAATTCTTATCTTTTTCAGCAAAAAAAAAAAAAAAAAACGATTCCAAGAACGATTTGATTTCTTATTAATAAATTTCACCATTCGAAATATTTAATATCAAAATTATCAGGCTGAAATTTAGAAAATCAAATCTAACATAGTTTCACATCAGAAAATTTTTTATAAGCTTGCAGAGCAATTTTTCTTTTTCAGAAATAATTTAACAAATAATGTGATAAATGAATGAAAATATTCTTTTCGATTTTGATATTCGTCGGACGGATAATTAAAATTGAAAATTATATTGACATAAATCAGATGAAAATTATTTTAAGAAACTTTAAAAATAATTATATAAGAAAAAAATAGCTTTCAATATTGCATTGGCTTTAATTAATACGCAACGTAATACATATTATATTCAAATAACATACAACATGTTAAAAGTTAAAATAATGTGAAATTATGGCACAGTTTTATTTTCTATCGACTTATACTATTATGATTCTCAATCCTCCAATTATTGTTAACGTGAAATCGTGCTCGTTCTTTTTCTAAAACAACTCTTGGAACTCAGATTAGATTATATAATGAATATGCAATTTAAAATGAAGTTAATTATATTTCAAAATGTATATCCATTTATTAAAATAGCTTTTTGGCCAATTAATACATTTTTCTACGGTTAAACTCGAAATAGTTTCTTTGTTGAAAAAATTCAGAAACTATTAATAAAATATGAATAGATCGTGAAAATTGTCGTGTTGTCGAGCACGAAATGCAACGTCGTCGACAACCGTGAACGAACGATCGGGTTTTTAATACGCGATGCTGTTTTAATGGCGTTTCGCACGTCGCGTTGTTCGCCACGGGCTCATAAATAGAAAAGCTAATCAGACATTGGCAACGGCTCTTTATTCCCGTCCCTGTTGCACTTTCCGCTTCGTGTGCCTCTCTGTCTGCCCAAACAAGAGAGATATACGAGAAGATACCCGGAGCGCGTATTACCGACCTACTTCCTGTTAGCGGAATATCTGATGTTAAACGGAACCATTTTATATCGAGTCTCGTTAATGAGCCCGTCATTAGCTTGTCGTCATTATCTCGATATAAAACACGCGTCGTTACGCCGCCGTTGATCGATTAATCGAGACTGAATCTAGGATGTCTATTAGAGGTGTGATTACTCGCGATGAGCATATATACGCTGATTACACGTTTCGCTTGGCTTGCCTCGTGTGCAACGTCAATATACTTCGAGACGTTCTCCTCACGAGATAAACTTTCTCGATGACGGTTACGTAAAACACTGGCAAAACTGGGAAGCAGAAAGAAATTGAAAAAAAAAAGTGGAAGGTAAGAGAAAGAAAGAAAATGCGAAAATAAATCCTGTCTAATAAATATATATATATATATGGTGATTAGAAAAGAAGATTTTTCATTGATTTTAATGATATTGAAACACAAATGGTTAATAATAATAATAATAATCGGACACCATTTGAAACAGAATAATTTTTTTAAAATTAGACCAAATAATTTGAATTTATTTGAAACGTTAAAAGGATTAGTTTACTAAGTATTGTATAGAAAAATTATTAGTTATTAGTCAGAAAAAAAAATAAAAATCAAGATTTTTAACTTATTTATCTAACGCTAAAAGGAAATTTTAAATGTCTTTTATATATTTAAATATATTGTATATATGCACAAAATTTCATCGAAAATCGAAAATTCGCAGTTTTAAGTTCAAATCTTTCAGTTTGTTATTGTAATAAATCTTTCTGTAAAAAATTTTTATATCTTTCAATACCTATCTCAAAGATCACAATTCATGAGAAAGTAGTTTTTTAACCGGTTATTTGATATGTTTATATCAACAGAACGTAAATGGCGGTCGCATGTTTGCGCACATACATATATATAAACAAAATTCTATATAATAATATATTTAGCAATCGTTTTTGTAAATATTTCGAAAATAAAGATTATACATAGAAAAAAATTGTTGACTTTGTGCTCTATAACATATTCAAAAATTATTAAACTTCTTTCTCAAAAAATTATCGAATATTTTACATTTGAATTATTTTAAAAAGCTCACAAAATTTAAACTTTTTACGGATTAAGTATCGTATTGTTCAAGATCATTGGATACTTAATACACGTAAAAATATGGACAAACGAATTATAAATATGGCTTCAATACTATTATATACGTAAAGTTTTTCCTATGTTAATTTCGTTGAGCATCAAGTAACAACGTTATTAAAAATCATAACTAGAATAATTCGTATATTGTTATATTTTAACCATAAGAAAAATTTTCTTGATTTAAAAAAAATGTAATTTACGATTATACCATAAGTAAACATTATACTTTTCTTTTTTTCAAATTTTATAAGATTATGTAATTTATAATTTACGAAGGAATCGTTCCAAAAAAATATCAAACAAATTAGTTAA